AAAGTAAAATAATCCACAATAATCCGCCTGCATCTGGCCAGAAACTAAAACAGTGGGCATGTCTACACATTCATTAATGTGCCATAATTACATTAATGAATGTAAATTAACATTCATGAATGTACAGGTAAGTTTATTACCTATAATAACCCATAATCAGTGATACTGCACATTAGCATGGATGAATGCTTTTTGAGAGACAGTTAATTACATTGGACTAAAGCTACTGTGCATTAGCACAGATGAATGCTTTTTTTGTGTGACACAATGTCCATTGGATTAATTTACTGCACTTAACTAATGTGCCCAGTGGATGCATCTACACAAGATGCTTAATGGTGCAGGAGCCTAGTTTTCTGTGCAGTAAGTGCATGTGTCTACATGTGTGCACACTTACAGCACAATAAAAATCACTAATTGTGAGTAAACTTGCTACCTGGAACTAGAAGTAGCAAATTTACTCGCAATTAATTACTGTCCAGTAGCACATGTGTAGATGCAACCTGGGAGTAAATTTGCTGCCAGGTCAGCCCTGTCAATAAGGGCCAACTTAAGCCTAGTCCCAGGGCTGCGGGTTGAGAGCCTCTCCTGCCCTGGGACTGGGATGCCTTTATGGCAGCTCTTGCCTCAGGCCCTTTAAAACCTGCAGGCATTTTGAGCCCTGAGGAACATAAGTAGGGAGCCTGTATTTCCCTGGGCTGGCCACAGCCTGCCTGCACCCTGGCACCACTGCCTGGCACTACAGTGCCACATAGCTGCTAGGCCTGTGCCATCCAGGCATGCAGGGTACTATAGGCTGCTGCAGGGGGCTGGAGGCAGCCCCGACAGCACACAGGCCCAGCATCAGGCAGCTTCTGGCTGCTAGGGCCAGCTCCAGCTGCCCACAGTTCACCCTCAGCAGCCTGCCCTGACCCTACAGGTGTTGTGGAGTATTGCCTCAGCTGTGCAGCTGTCAGTCCCATCCCATGTCCCTGTGCTGGGCACTACAGGCAGCTGCCCAGGCCCAGAGCCACAGGGACAGACATGTGGAGGCCCAGAAAGATGGCACAGAACCCTTGATGGTTCTATCTTCACCCATGCTCATGCCTGTACTCACCACCTGGGGCCCCAACTGATGCACGGAGGAGACTGGTGACCTTGTGGCTCTGTGGGGTGAGGTAGAGGTGCAGCACCAGTTCATGCAAGGCAGGCACTCCAATGCCCACGTCTATGAGTGGCTGTCAGGCTGGATATGGGAATATGGGCACAACCAGTCAGCGTGGCAGTGCTGCATAAAGGTCCAGGCCTTGCAGGCACAATGGGTCACCATGACAGACCATAATTGTCAGTCAGAGAATACCTGCAAGTCCACACCCTTTATGTGGCAGCTGGCAGTCATCCTTGTGTCCCAGGATCCACACTGCAGCTGTGCTATCTACAGCATCATGGGCAGCCTGTCAGAGCTCCCACCCTGGCCTGGCTCCCATGAGGACACTTCCCTGAGGGAGGGCATCTTGGGCCTACAGTAGCCCTTTCTGCTGAGCTCCCTGGCTGCAGCCTCCATCAGCAGCTCAGGGAGCCTGGGCAAGAATGTGCCTCAATAGCTGCACAACCTCAGCCCCAGCCATGAGGTGTGGCACCACTCATGTCACCACTGGCCACCTGCAGCAACAGCTCCTCCCGGATGTGGGGTGGCTGGGCACTCACATGCCATACCCCACTATCTGAGGACACTGCCCAGAGCTGTGTGCCATTGCCACCAAGTGGGACCCAGAGGAACCACAGGCCATGCCAAACCTGGCCACGTGGAAAGACCTGCACTGGGTAGAGGGCTCTCCCCACCCTGGCCCCTGCCCCTGGCACCCGGTTCCTGATCCCCCTCCCTGCCCAGCCTGACTGCACTTGTCTGGCCCTGGGCTCCCCACCATAGCACACAGGGAGGTGGGGGACAGTGCAAAACTTCATTGAGCAGCCTGTTCCCCTGCAGATAGGTGGGCATGAGCCTCTCACATGCTTACGGATGCATCAGTGCTGTCAGCAATGTCTTCCTTGGATGCAGGGAGCAGGGACATGTAGGACAGCCACAGGTAATCCTGCAGGTGACAGTGAAGGTTGTGGGAAAGCCCATGCTTGCCCTCCATACCACTGATGCTCAGGGTCCTGTGCCAGATGCACAGGTGTGGGACACCATGGAGATCAGCAACAGCAGGGCATAGTGAGCTGGGCACCACTCAGTCTGCTCAAACATCTCCTTGTGCATCACCCACAACACATGCAGCAGGAGCATGCGTGGGGTGCAGCTGGGGGGGCTGGGCTTTGGGCTTCTCCTGGGAGAGGCCCCCTGTGGGGAGGGCAGGTGCAGGCAGCTCTTCATCCCAGTTGTCTGGGAGCCCCATGCCCCCTGAGCCTTGGCACTGTGGGCTGGGTGGCAGCACAGGATAGAAAGCTAGCCTGCAGGAGTGGGGAAGGAGTGGGGTCTGGAGCCACACACACAGGGGGATAACCAGCTGCCATTGACACTGGGAAAGCTCCCTGCCCACTGGGCTTGATGTGGTGTTTGCACCCACAGAGGAATAGCCAGAGGCCAGGATGCTAGCTGCCTGTCCCTGGGCTCTGCCCCCTATGTGCTTTCACCTCATGGCCCCTCACCCCAGGACAGGACACACAAAGCACATTTTGCAAATAGTTTGCACAGGGAAGAGGGTGTTTTATTGTTGGTGGGTGGTGGAGGGACTCTGTTTGTTGGGGAGGAAGAGGGGAGGAGGAGCTCTGGTGTAAGGGAATAAAAAACTTGCTCTTGTGAGACATGTCTGTAGTAAACGTGGTCTTAGGGGTGGGCAAAAGGGGAGGTTGGCTGAGGTCCAGGATATGGTATACAAAAGCAGAAGGAACATAACCTAGCAGAAAGAAAATGGATTCTCCAAAGCTTTTTAAAAAGTATACAGAGGCTAGGAAGAGAAGTAGCATTGTCCTTGAACAAGTTGTACCTCTGCTTGTCCCAGAACAGAAAAATCCCTGGACTGGCATCTAATTAGGTTTTAGTGAATGGCTGAATTCTCTGCTGCTTTTTTTACATTGATCCAATGATACAATCCCACAATATCCATTCAGATGTACTTTGGGATAAATTGTTAGTACTTTTTGTCCCATGAAACGTTTTAGGATTTATCCCAGGAAAATGGACATGGACAACTGAACAGCTGCACTTTGACTTGGGATGCAATGCTTTGTCCCAAGACAAACTTGACATCTGTTTGCAGCCGGAGTCATGTAAATAAAATTGTTCTGGGGTTATAGGAGGAGTTGGTGGCTTATTGAGGGTAAACAATTGAGCTAATGAGGGAACGAGCGGCTTACTGAGAGTGCTTGCTGGTTTAGGCAATCAAAGAAAGCAAATAGTTACACAAGTGCCTGTTTCAGGATGAAATAGGATGGTGTCAAAAGATCAGACCCAAAAGGACATATATATTATGAGCATGTTCAGTACCTCTTCTCTAAGCTCCTAACTTGCAATTCCTATAGCAACTAATCCAAATTTTTTTAGAGATAAAAGCTGCTGAGTCCTTCTAGCAACACTTTTTCTGTCATACTGTAAGTAATGGATATATTAAACTGCTCTATATGCAGTGCTTTTAAGGATTCACTTTGCAAAACGTATTTGATGAGTAACAGTGTGTGTAGATGAAATGGGGGCCCTAAATTGAAGCAGTGGATCTTAAACAAACACTGCTTTAATTTAAGGCCAATCAAATCCCCGTGTCGTGCACACACCCTGCTGACTTACCTGCCTCTCTGGTAGGGAGGGGAGGGTGAGCTGCTGGCGGACATGGTGCTTCCCTCTGAGGCAGCAATGCCCACCCCCTGATGGCACCCACCTGTAGGCACATGGCTCAGGCAGTCCCAGGGGGCACCACAGCCATGGAGGGAAGCACTGGGCCCCTGCACAGCTCAGGCAGACAGGCAGGCAGGCTCTGGGTGGGGAGAGGGAAGATCAGACTCGCCACTTTTCTTGGGCAGAGCTTGTTTTCCTGGGCTGCTACCAGGCTGCCTGCAGGGCTTCCTGCAGAGCCACAGAGCTGTACAAAGCCCAATGCTTTGCTTCGCAGCTGTAGGGGCAGCAAACTAAAACTCCTCAGAGGAACTTTATTTCGCTGCACCCCACATCATTTAAGGTCCATTACATCGCTGAATTTCTTACAGTGGCTGGAATTAATGCGCAATACTGCCGAGGTCTGCAGGCACCAATGCTATTAAAGTGGTGCAAAAGCATTTAGCACATTTTAAAGTGTCATGCACACATGCCCCTCATTTCGTCTACACACGGCCTAAATAATGAAGTAGAAGTCATCCATCTCCTGCCTCTTTATCTGAGATCAGTTTCACTGAACACCCGATCCATATACTCTCTAACTTCAGTCACAGATGTTTTAGAGATGTTTCAGAAATAGTGTAATTCACTGAAAAAAACAGACTATTTAGTTTGTGGTTATCTTATAAACTTTGGTGAGATACCACATAAGTAAAATTTCTTCTTGTACTATATTCTCCTTTTCTCTCCTAGCCTCTTAGGTTTATTTATCAAAATATGACTAAGTTTAATAAGTCATTTTGTCTTTATTAAACTTAAATACCTAGAAGTAAAATATGAGAGAGACCACTTGATGTTTGTTTCTTAGCTACTGATTTACTGTGAGTGAGTGAATCCTGAATGAATGATTATCCTATGATGATGAACTATGTAATCTATGAAAGTGTTCATGATGTTCTTGGATAACAGACACAGCCTATACTTCGCTGGATTTTGTTGATTATCCTGGGGAAAAGGAGGTGAAAACTCTTGAATCTTTCCCCACCTCAAGACTCTGTATATTCTTGCTAAGCAATTTGTAATACAGTGAAAACTTTAAGCTCTTCACTTCATAAAAATCAAAGTTTTCTTTTCTTTAGAACTATTTCTGAGCAGTGAAAGCCAATGTTAGAACAAAGATGAGTTTAACATGCCATCAAAAGTAAGCTCTTACCAAATTCCTTAGGTACTGTTATTGAATAGTGACATGTCTGTCCAGCAGTATAATTATGAGGATAATTTGGTGATAAGACCACTCCATCTGATCCAGTGTATTGTCCTCCACATGGAGCTGAAAAGAGAACAGAAACAAAAGTATCATCCTTAGCTACACCTTCTACTATGTATGCTATCTTAGAAGCTAAAAAATGCAATATTTCAAAGTGAAATGTTTGGTGTTTAGAGTTTTTACTACTGTTGCTGTTATTGGTATTATTATTATTATTATTATTATTATTATAGCTACAGATATAGTGGTCTTTATCAGGAACACATGGTTATTAAAATTAAATTACATTAAAATGTAGGCAAAGATTATTTCTGATATCTTTTATTGGAACAACTATATAGCTGGAAGAAATGTTGCACAAACTTTTGGGAACCAAGTGTCCCCTCCTCAGGTCTAAAACTGAACTTTTGAACAATAACATAGAAAATAAACAGGTGTGAAAAGGAACTTGGAAAGTCAAATTGTCACCTGTCGGCAGCTCTGTGTTCTTGGGAAACCCTAGCACAGTACGCAGCCTGTCTGACTCCAAAAAGACCCCTGCCCCCCCCCCATCTCAACCTCTGCCTGAAATAGAACTGATTAGAGGAAGGACGTACAAAAGACAATGAAGATGCAGTGGGAGACACACCTGAAACCCTCCAGACAAGTGTGATAGGAGTGAAGCAACTCTCCAATGTAAATGAGCCATGGGGAGTTGCTCCCCATGGCTCATTTACATTGGAGATGGAACCAGATGGCAACTCATTTGCATGGGAGACGGGGCAGGAAATCACCTTCATTAGCTTTCAGGATTGAGAACAGAAAGCCCAAGGCAAGGACCACACTGAACTCTGGGACCAGAGAAGCAGGGGAGCACTGCATGATGGGGGATCCCTGCTCCAAATGCTAATCAACCCACATCTGCACACACCCCAGTTCAGCATTTATGAGACCAGTTCTGGTAATCTGTCCTTTATTGGTACACAAAACACTGAATATGCCTGCCTGTATTGTGAGCTCCCTCGGAGTAATGCCACCCATAGCCAGGAGTGATCAGTTCCTATTATCCAGCATATGAGCCATTGTTTACCCATGAGCAAACCTAGTGTCCTCCCTTAAGCCACTGTTAGTTCTCTACAAAAACCCCTACCCGAGCTCAAGTTTCTGTCCTGGTGCTTGGATCCAAAAGCTGCACCAGTTCCATTCCTTTTCTGCCTGGAAGCCCTCCATTGATCTCTGCCTGTCTGCCAGCTCCAACAAACACCTGGGAACCTCGACTGGTTCAAGCTTCACTGAGTGGTGAGACCCCAACTCTCTCTCTCTGACTCCAGGACCCTGACTTTTGTTTTCTTACTCCAGGCCCAGCTTTCTAAACCAGACTTTTGCTGATCGCTCTCTCTCTCTCTCTCTCTCTAACTCCAGGCAAAGCTTTCTAAACCTGACTTTTGTCCTCATACTCCAGGCAGAGCTTTCTAAATCTGACTTTTGCTGATCAAACTTCAGCTAGACTTCCCCAAATACCTTATTGAAAGTGATGATACCAGTAGTAATATTGTAACTATTTTATTTGTCTCTCTTGTATGGCTATTACTACTGGTATCATCATAAATTCATATACCTGGTAATAAATAACTTTTATGGTCAAGCTGATTGCTATACTATCTCTCTGAGCCTCACTTACTCTTCCTTCCCCTTGACCTCCCCATTTGCTCTGCAGCAATGCTTCTTTTACCAAAGTCGAAGACCCCCATAATGCCCAAAACTACAATGGGGTCTGCTCACCAATGGAGTTACTACTAGGAGCACTGTGACAAGGGATTGGGATGTGCTGAGCTTTGAGGCGCATGAGGGTATCAGCTGAAAGTTTTGATCAGACGTACACTGTTAGTATGTGTGTATGTGTGTCTAACTGCATTTATTATTGTTTTTGCTGAAATAAGGGATGAACTGAGTTCAAGGCACATGAGGGTCTCAGCCTATCAATGCTGAATAATCCGGCCTGACTCAGGTCTGCTCTGCCAACCCATGTGCTTGTGTCTGACTACATTTTATTGTTGTCCTGATGAACTGAGTTCAAGGCATATAAGGGTATTAGCCTTTCAATGCTGAATAACCTGGCCTGGCTCAGATGTGCCCTGTTAATCTGTGTGTGTATATGCATATATGTGTTTTACTGATTTGGTAGTTGGAGGCACCCAGCCCCATTGAACCTGAGTCCTGCAAGATAGCTCCATTGGGTGTGAGGACTTGCAGAAGGGAGAGATACAGCTCCATACAGAAACACAAGTAACATAAGCAGCAAATATATAAAATTACAGAGGCCCCAGAAATGTACCCCTAATAAATGAGCACACCCTAAAGTGATGCGCAAATCTGGTAACAAAATAACCCAATGCCTTGCTACAGGTCAGTTCACCCCTGTCTAAGCAATCCCAGACAAATATTTGTCTAACCTGCACTTAAAAACTTTCAGAAATAGTGATTCCACTACCTTACTAGGTATTCTGTCCTACTGCTTAACCATGCTAATAATTAGAAAGTTCTTCCTACTATTTAATATCATCCAAGACAAGCCTGTTACATCTTATTCTGTACCTTGATGACAGAGGCATGAACAGTAGGGCTGTGCAAAGTTTCAGTTGCTGATTAAATTCGGCAGAGATTTGGCCCAATTCAGCATCTGAATCTCCAAATCCAAATCAAATCAGGAGACCCTTTAATCTCTCTGAATTGAATCGGAACCCTCCAAATTGATTCAGAGAGATTTGATGATTTGGACATAGACACTGATTTATATGTTTTTTCTACATATTTCAAGGTACCAGGTGGCTCATGAACACCGAGATGGTAGTGCAGATGGAGTGTCCCACAGGAGCACAGTGGGGTATCCAACATGCTCAGTGGTAGACCCAGAAGTGGACCAGAAGCACTTCCAGTCCACTTCTGGGTCTGCCATGGAGCATGTGAGGGGACCCTCCCCCCACCCCGAGCTTGATGACTTGTGCCTTCTGGGTCTGGGGGGGCACCCAGGGTCCCCCCATGGCAGATCGCCAAGCTGGGGGAGTGCAGGGAGGGGGTCCCTTCCATGCTCAGCAGAGGAACCAGAACTGGACTGGAAGTACTTCCAGCCCACTTCCAGGTCCACTGCGAAGCACATGGGGGAAGGGAGCAGAACATTCCTGTGGGATGCTCCATCTGAATCTGAATTGAATATGGCTCACTTCGCACACCCCTAATGAACAGGTATTCAGTTCTAGAGCCAAGTAGTTTTGTGAAATTCTTTGTTCATGAAAGTAGTTTAGAAGTTGGAGTGTACAGACATTGTGGCTCAAGAACTACACAGGAGAGCTGTCAAGCCAGAGGCAACTAGTGCTGCTCCTTGGGTCACACTCTACCCTTGGAGGATCTCACTGGTTGAAACCCTGTTCTGTCCCCTGCTAGGGAAGCAGTTGCTACAGGCAGCCCCTCACTCTATAGGGCTGAGAAGGGTGAGGAGAATCTGTGAAAACAAAAAAGAAGCAGCATTTTTCTGTGTAATCTAAATAACACAGAAAAGATTGCAGCAAAGATTTAGTAATTCTTATTATTATATGTAGTATGAATAAACAGCAAAGGGCAGTACTGTGTAAAAATAAAAGAACTGGCTTGAGTATCTTAAGTTCCACATTATCATGCTAAAATATAGGGTAGAGATGTGTAAGTGGAATGCTGCAGTTAGGTTACTTTGTGTTGCATAGATATACCATATATCGCTTCTGTAGTTGGTTTTCAAATTCCAAAATCTGCAGTACTTTTAATCACAAGTAAAGAGAAACATACACATATTATTCTATATTATTTGAGAGGGGCAAGGGTTTTTTGTGATATCTTCTAATGGACTAATTGTATAATTAGTAGATATGTTAGTAGCATAGGTGACATATAGGGTAGGCATGGGGGGCATATGCCCTCCCTGAGATTGGCCACTGCCAAAGCTGCCACCGGCTTCTGCAGGCAGTCACTGCCCACACCCACCCCTGCCCCTCGCCGCTGATGTGGCTGGTGGTGGCTGCAGGTGGTCCCCGCTCACCACTTAGCACTGTCCCCCCTTGCTGCTCACCGTTCACCACCCGCCACCGGTGACACTACCAGCAGTGGCTGTGGGTGGCCCCTGCTTGGCACTCACCATCGCTGACACCGTGGGTAGTAGCTGTAGATGGTCCCCGCTCACCACCAATGTGCCCTCCACCCCCCCCCCCAAGTCGCCCCCCCCCCCCCCCCCCCCCAGTCACGGTTGGCACCAGTGGTTCATGGTTAGTAGGATAGATTTAATAGTAGTTTTCAGCTACCTGAAGGTTGATTCCAGAGAGGATGGAGCTAGACTATTTTAGGTGGTGACAGGTGACAATACAAGGAGCAATGGTCTCAAGTTGCAGCAAAGAAAGTCTAGGTTAGATAATAGGAAAAACTTTTTCACTTGGAGGGTAGTAAAATACTGGAACAGGTTGTCTAGAGATGTTGTGGAATCTCCATCCTTGGAGGTTTTTAAAATGCAGCTAGACAAAGCCCTGGCTGGAATGATCTAGTTGGGGATGGTCCTGCTTTGAGCAGGGGGTTGTACTAGATGACCTCTTGAGGTCCATGCCAATCCTAATTTTTTATAATTCTATGTTAGACAAGATGTAAGGCAAAAATCCTTGCCTTCTTGTATTTTCTGGACCACTACAACAATAATCCAACCATATTATTTAATATGTACCCAGGTAGAATTTAGTCTAGGAAAGTGACTGAAGGATCCATAAGTGTATTTGGTGGAAATATTGTAAACCAAGTACAAATCCTGTTTTTAGTTACGTGTGTGCAAGGGATGCTGTAATGGATAGTTTAAAACTAATGCATGTATTTATTTTTTTTATAGATAGATAGATATTCCTCTGTAAAAGCACATACCATGTTTTATCGCATATCACATACATGACTATAAGAAAGAATGAAGAAAAAAGAATCATTCCTTGTGGTAAGTAGCTGAGTAGCAAAAGCTAGGGCACTGAGCCTGCTCCTTGTTCTTCTCCTACTGGATCATTGCAGATTGTATTTTTGGTTTC